AGCGACGATAGGTTCCTCGGTAACCCGCTATTGTTGCCATGGCATTTTTTTTTTGTTTTGTCAGTAATCCTCCAGAATGTTTTGAAGTCTGGCTGAAGATTCGTGGTCTTGCTGGATTTTGTAAACTGGTGAAAATGGATTCACTCATCTAACCAGAGGGCCATAACAACGACAATACAACAGAGACATTGTTCTGGACTATCTTCAAAAGACCCCAACTATTAAGCCACGCTCTGGGATAAAGTGCAATACATGGAAAGGTTCGTCACTGAACAAAAACACTGTCCAACAGGCACAGACTGAAGTGAAAAATTAATCAGTGTGATACACTGATCATTCACAAGGGGCTGCTGTATCTTCGCCAAACGCTCGGAGAAGCCCGCCATCTCTGTTCTCCCACAGGATGGACATCCCGCCTTGTCTTAAGAAACAGGTGAATCCTACACCACATACAGTAGATGATTCCCAGTCATATTAATTCACAGTCAATTTTAGGCCATAATTAGCCTAATTATGTCAAAATAGTACTTTTGGTTAATACTTTTTGTTCGCAGGTATGTGTTGGTTTGTTAGCCTACTGCTTGCATGAGTTTAGTTTTGGCTTCTTATTTCTCATTGTTTAATTTTTTCACGAACACTGGTGGTTTCCATTTTTAGCATTTTAAAGACATTTAAGATATGAAATGAAAATCTGGTGAGGTTGTCTGTTAGATATGGCATTATGCACTAAACAATTGCCTTTTAAATGCTGTTTTATCCAAATATGTGCTGTAAGAGAGAAAGCTGTCCCACCTAAGCTCACCTTGAGTTGACATTGATTTGAAAAGTGGCAGTGCTGCCACCTTGTGGCTCAGAACAATACAGTGGCCTTAATTGCATTATGACAGTCCATTTTGAGCAACTGTCTAATATTTAAAGGTGCAGTAGGAGATCTTGGAAAATGCAACTTTAGCCTGATAGCACTGAAAGCGAGCGTCCCACCCTCCCTGCAATCGCCTTCCAAAGCCATGGCCCCTGAACGCATATACGCCCACAGACCAGAATACCAGAGACAACATTACTACAATATGCTACATCAGCGGTTCCCAATTCCAGCCCATGTTCTGAAGTTAAGTAAATGTCAACAGATTGCCCCTCTCAGATAGTAGGGAGCAATGAACACTGTGTAGGGATCATGTTGATCGGAACACAGTTCATGCACGTAGCTCACCTCTAACGAGCTGGTTATCTGAATCGGGTGTGTTAACTGTGAGACATGCAAAATATGCAGAGCGGGCGCGAGGCGCAGGGACTGGAATTGGGAACTGCTGGGCTACATCATGTGTCATTCACCGGTGAGAAAACTTTAAAAGTACTACAATACCAGGAAGGAAGATCGGGTTGTTGATGTTTGTCTGTCTTTCTCGCTCTGTCTGCAGTCTGCACAGCGTGCGTGAATGCGCTGATGACGTACCCTGTCTGTGTGAACCCGGTGTGCAGAGGTATGCTAATACATATGTTGACAGGCAGGTAGGAAAGCCAATTAAAGCGCTCGGACCGAGTGTTTTGATTGGATGAACATTTCTTGGTCCTACGCCTTCCACAGAATATATAAATATAAATAAATAAATTTAGACCACTTAATGATTGCTATCGGGATGTGAAGAGACCAGCATAACAAAAAAAGTTTCTGAAGACAATCACCTATTGCACCTTTAAATAACTGAAATCTATATAATCTGCTAAGTATCTCTAATGTACTTTTATGTTGTTGTTTTTTTACATATTTTAAATTTGTTTTTAATTTTTAGATTTTCCATTTTCATTTTCATTTTAGTTCAGTTTAGTAATTGTTATTTGTTTTTAATTTTAGTTAAAGTTTTAGTAATTTTGTGTGTTTTTGTTAGTTCTGTGAGTTTTTGTTTTATTAAATTTGTTTATATAATTGTTATTTCAGTTTTAGTTTAGTACATCAATTTAAACTAAATAAAAAAGGAAATATTGCATGCAACTAGCTGAAAAATAAGTTGAACTTTTATAAATACATAATTTATTTGGTTAATACTTATTTGTATTACTTTTATTTCAAGTAAGTAAACATTAATATAAATATTAATATAAATGAATATAAATATATTAATAATGTGATAACCCTGCTTCCTAGGTGTGTGTGTGTGTCTGTCTGCACGTGTGTGTGTAGTCTATCATTATCAGATCTATATATCTCTCATTTTTATTTTATTTTGGTTATTTTAGTGCATCAACTTAAACTTAAACTTCAACATCAACTTTTTTTCAAAGAAAAAACAAGAAATATTGTATATATATACATGTAAAATTTTTATATTAATTAATATTAACAAATATATAAAAAAATGTACTGTATATTAACATTTATATTAACAATCCAATTGTATACATTTTATTTTAGTTTTAGGTATTTTAATATATCAAGTTAAACTAAAAAAAAGAGAAATATTACCTTGGCAACTAGTTAACACTTAGTTAACACAAGTAAGTAAACTTTTTTATACTATAATATAAATGAACAGAATTGTATAATAACTATAATAACCCTGCTTCTTAGGTATGCACAGGTATAAAACATGTTTAATTCAAATATATTAACACATTTTATATTAACATTTATATTACCAATGCCATTTTTAGTAATGTTTATGCTATTTGACTTATTTAATGTTGCACTTGGCATGTGAATTGCTTATGAACCTCTATATGTATATATATATACATGTAAAATTTTTATATTAATTAATATTAACAAATATATAAAAAAATGTACTGTATATTAACATTTATATTAACAATCCAATTGTATACATTTTATTTTAATTTTAGGTATTTTAATATATCAAGTTAAACTAAAAAAAAGAGAAATATTACCTTGGCAACTAGTTAACACTTAGTTAACACAAGTAAGTAAACTTTTTTATACTATAATATAAATGAACAGAATTGTATAATAACTATAATAACCCTGCTTCTTAGGTATGCACAGGTATAAAACATGTTTAATTCAAATATATTAACACATTTTATATTAACATTTATATTACCAATGCCATTTTTAGTAATGTTTATGCTATTTGACTTATTTAATGTTGCACTTGGCATGTGAATTGCTTATGAACCTCATGTGAAGAGAAAGAGAAAGAAAATCCCAGCAAGCTGTTGCACTTAAGTTCTGATATCATGTCACTGATGTGCAGTAGCATATTAAAATCTGTCAGTCAGCCTGTAAAATATGTCATATCTCTCATTCCTACAGGCCCAGTTCACTTGTGATTGTCTTTTCACTCGAGTAGCCTGTTTTCCTGATACAGCAGATGAAGTAATCTCAGGATGAAACAAACTGTGTGAATCTCTATAGCACAATGTCATCAGATTAACATATCAGACACGTTCTGTGCTAAAATGAAAAGAGACCCGAGAATACAATAAAAGCTTGTGAGGCCCGGCCTCTAGATATCATTGCGTTTCAATGCAGAGAGACACGCAAACAACCATCCATCTGATCTTCTGCAACATTGCGCATGTCATTGCAAGGAATCTAGGACAAGCTGTGTTTCTGGAGGAGCATTAGAGAGCTCTTCTGCACGGCTGCATCCACAAGCAGCTCCTGTCTGGCTTCTTCTACAGCGGCTACTTGTCGTTTGAGCCAATCTCATGCTGTCTGCACACACTTCCCCTCTTCTCTGGACATTAGTGTGTCATGCGCGGCTCTTCTTTACTAGTTTAGCCTCAGAGCCATTTCTGGGCTTGTTTGAGCCAATCTCATGCTGTCTGCACACACTTCCCCTCTTCTCTGGACATTAGTGTGTCCTGCGCGGCTCTTCTTTACTAGTTTAGCCTCAGAGCCATTTCTGGGCTTTTAAAAGGCTTTGCTGTTTTCGTCTTCCACGTTGCATAATAGACCTAAATGAAAGTCCTCCTCTTGGACCACATTCAGGACAAGCGAGATCTACTTCCTGTTTCTGGGTCAGTTCGAACGACCGTGAAGAAATAATGTACTCCATTGCTGACACAGTTTTGATAGTTTGATCAAATATTGCTAAGCGAAATTTTATATATAGCATCGTTTGTTACTTTCACTCATACAAGTAGGACAGTTTTTCTGAATTGAACTCATTCATGGCCATTTGTGCTCCAGACATAAATGACAACTCAAATCATGACTTGTTGAGGAAAGGCGTGGTGTTGTACATTAAAAGAGGGTCAGTGTATTCACCTTAAACACCATAGTAACCATTTTAAGATGCCCTAGCAACGGGTCATTTATTTATTTCCTAGTTAGTTTCACATTTGGGTCAGTTTTTGGCTGGTTAGTTTTGTGCATTTAACTGGTAGATCAGAATGTGATTTTATATCTCACAGTTGCCACTTTATTTCTAATAATTGTGACTTTATATCTCACAAGGGTACTATATAAAGTCACATTGTGAACTTTATAAATAAAACATTATTATTATTATTATTATTATTATTATTATTATTGTAGAATGTGACCGTATCTCACAATTGCAAATTAACACACAATTGTATCTTTTCATTTTTATAATTATAACTTTCAATCTCACAATATGATTATATTATATTCTAAAATATAACATCATTCTGGGGTTTATAAATTAAACGTTAGTATTATTATTAATTACATTTCAGAATATGACTATATCATCTAATTTTGAATTAAAATCTCACAATATTGACTTCTGAAACATAAAATCACATTGTGTACTTTATGAATAAAACATTAGAAGTAATAGTATAGAATTTAACTTAATCACACAATTGCAAATTAATGTCTCATAATGCAACTAGTATATTCTGAAATATGAAATCACATTGTGAATTATAGGATGTGACTTTATTTCTCACCATTTGCCAATTAATATCACGCATGTGAATTTTTTTCTCACAATTTTACTTTCCATTTTATCCCACAATGTGATTATATTATATTATTATACGCCAGAATTTTATTTCTCAGAATATATGTGACTTTACTTCCAAGTATATTATATTCTAAAATATTAAATCACACTTAGGATTTCTTTCTTTCTTTCTTTCTTTTTAATTTTTTTCTTTATTTTATTTATAATTGTGCCTTTATGTCTTACATCTATCTATCTATCTATCTATCTATCTATCTATCTATCTATCTATCTATCTATCTATCTATCTATCCATCCATCCATCCATCCATCCAATCCTTTTATCCCCATTTCCCCATTTCCCCATTCTTTTCCACAGCAGTGAGGAAGGAGACAAAAGTGGATGAAGCTTTAAAGGATAGCCTGTGTGGACCCCAGCTTGCCAAACGTTGGGGCTCGTGGACTGTTCCCTGCTCCTCCACGCTTCTGGGAGGAGGTGCCTTCAAAAAACACCCCCCTCGTCCAGCCTCCGGGCCCTGATTTCCCCCTGGCTAGACGGCCCCAGCGCACCACTTGCCTTTTCTGTGTCAGTATTCCGTCTCTTTACCAAAAGAAGGTGGACTCCTGTATTGATGTGCTGTTTCTGCTGCTAAATGTAAGACTCTAAACTCCACATAAGTGCTCCTACATGCTCCCACCGCCATAGCCCAGCAGTGTGGAGGGCTGTGCTAGTTATGCTAGCTCCATCAGTTGTCATGTGTCGTCAGGCTGTCATGTCGTCTTTGACGTTGCTGTATAAACTGATAGTCATAAACGTGATGCCTCTTTGTCATTTTTGAGTGGCGTAGGTTACTCATGTCTTTCTCTGGTCCCATCTGTTCGTGTGTCACATGCCACATGGCCATTAATTACATGTGGAAACCTTTCGTCATCATCAGAAGAAGGCTGTTGTGTTGATGCAATGTCTGAAATATTGCAACAAGAACAAGAGAGCAATAAGATACAAGAGGCCGTGCTGTGTTGTGAATTTTGCGTTTTCTTTCACAAGACATATTGTTTTTTTATGTATCTATTTTTTAACCTTTGGTCCCAAGTGAATGTCTTTGGGTCAGGCTTGGCTGGTTAGTTTTTCGTAGATAGTGTGATGTACCGTATGAAAGCCTGTTTCTGCCTCAGAGTAATTGTGACTCACAATTGCAACTTTATATCTCACAATTATTCATTTGAAACCCATAATGATTGTGAATATATCACAATTGCAACTTTATATTTTATAATTGGTGTTTTTCTTGTAAATGTGACTTTGTTTCTCATTATTTGGCATTATATCTTAATTACAACTGAGGTAATTTCTCACAGTGTGACTTTAAAACGTACAATAGTGATTTAATATCTCACATTCTGACTTTATATCTCGTAAATGTCAATTTATATATCAAAATGATATTGTTACTATATCATAATCAGTGTTGGGGAGTACTAACACTGTACTAGTTACATGTAATGGTGTTACATATAATTACAAAATAAATGTTACAGTTACTGAGAAAAAAATGTGTAATTAAATTAGTTATAAAAATGTTAACGATTATAAAGGGTAACATCTGAATGTTTGAAATGTTTACTCTAAAATATGAGACACCAATGTTTCAGGAATTTAGGAGACATACTTATTCGATAACCCGATTTGGGTTTATGTATATTGTATATGATTAACTTAATTTCAGATTAATTTAAGAGTAACTGTTTTTTAGATGCCAGTGTTTTCTGTCAAGCAATGCAAAGATTTGATTTCAAAAACAGTATCAAAGCTATAAAAACTTTTCTTGTTATGATTTAAAATCTGTATTTAACCTCAGAATGATCTCAAAGTAACAGTGAGGTGCTAAAGTTTGGTTTTGTGGTGGCAGGGCATTAAAATTAAATTATTATAATCTTAACGCGATGAAGCGATGAATTATTATAATCTTCTCAAGCGATGAAGGATTCTGAAAGTCTGACAGTAATCAGTTTTGAGTACTGCTGTAAGGTTAACCCTGCCTGCTTTAAATGTTTGACAATGATTAACAGTTAAAGAAGTAACCAAATGTAATCGGTTACATTACTTTAGTAAAGCAACTGAAATAGTTACACTACTTAATAAATTTTAAATAGGGTAATTTGTAATCTGTAACTTAATACATTTCTTAAGTAACCTTCCCAACACTGAGCACAATTTTCTTGTAAATGTGACTCATAATTTTATGAGTTAATATCTCACATTTGCGTCTTATCATACAATTGTGACTTTATATGTCACAATCTATGTCACATGATATTGTGACTACCGTATATCACAATAGCAGATTTATATTTTACAATTGTGAGTCTTGTAAATGTGACTTTAGTTATCATAATTGTGACTTTCTATCTTATAACTTCACTTTATATCTCATAATTGTGAGTACATTTCTCCGTAGTTGAGTGTACAGTATCTCACAATTTTGATTTATCTCACAATCTGACTTTGTCACAAATGTGAGTTAAAATCTCATAATGAGATTATATCACAACAGCAGCTTTATATTTTAAAGCTGTATGTGTTTTTTTCTTGTAAACGTGACCTTACTTCTCGTCATTTTGACTTTGTGTCTCATAATTTAACTTTAACATAATTTAACAGTAATTTAACTCTACTGTGTGTGTGCACTTGGATAGGTTAAATGCAGAGCACAAATTCCGAGTATGGGTCGCAAACACGTCTCTTCTCTTTCACTAAATGTTTTCTTTAAACTTTATCTCATAGTTACCTTTTCATTGTTTTTTCTTTTTCTTTTTTATTCTGAGGCAGACAGTGCTTTCTATGGAAGCCCGTTTCCGCCACTGAATAAAAAAAAAAAAAAAGGTATTTCATTGTTTTTTTCTCAGAATTGTGAGACATAAACTCACAATTGCGAGCTATAAAGTCAGAATTGCAAGATATAAAGTCAGAATTGTGTGATATAAACTCGCAATTGCGAGAAAAAAAGTCAGAATTGCAAGATATAAACTCAACTTCTGAAAAGTCAGAATTGCAAGAAAAAAGTCAGAATTGCGAGATATAAACTCAACTTCTCAAAAGTCAGAATTGCGAGATATAAACTCATCTTCTGAAAAGTCAGAATTGTGAGATATAAACTCAACTTCTGAAAAGTCAGAATTGTGAGATATAAACTCAACTTCTGAAGTCAGAATTGCGAGAAAAAAGTCAGAATTGCGCGATATAAACTCAACTTCTGAAAAGTCAGAATTGCGAGATATAAACTCAACTTCTGAAAAGTCAGAACTGCGAGATATAAACTCAACTTTTGAAAAGTCAGAACTGCGAGATATAAACTCAACTTGTGAAAAGTCAGAATTGCGAGAAAAAAGTCAGAATTGCGCGATATAAACTCGCAATTGCGAGAAAAAAGTCAGAATTGTGAGTTTATATCTCGCAGTTCTGACTTTATTTCTCAGAATTGCGACTTTGTATCGCAATTGCGAGTTTATATCTCTCAATTATGACTTTTTACCTCGTAATTGCGAGTTTATATCATGCAATTCTGTGAAAAAAAAGTCAGAATTGTGAGATAAAAAGTCACAATTACCTTTTTTATTTTTTATTCAGTTACTTTTATTTAGTAGCTTTCAACTACATCATGTGGATGCAAAAAGCATATTTTCCACTGATATTCATTCAAAATTAGCCTGGTATTCTAACAATATACTGTATATTGTAAGCAGCACACTACTGTACAAAAGTTTGCATTTGATAAGATTTTTTTTAAAGAAGTTGTTTATGCTCACCAAGGCTGCATTGCTCAAAAATACAGTAAATACAGTACTATTCTGAAATATTATTACAATTTAAAATAACCGTTTTGTGTTTGAATATATTGTCAAATGTAATTTATTCCTTTGATGTAAAGCTGAATTTTCAACATCATTACTCCAGTCTTCAGTGTCACATGATCCTTCAGAAATCATTCTAATATGCTGATTTGCTGCTCAAGAAACATGTCTTATTATCAATGTTGAAAACAGTTGAGCAGCTTCATAATTATTTAATGATTATACATATTTGGTAAGATTATAAATGTCTTCACTGTCACTTTTGATCAATTTAATGTGGCCTTGCTGAATAAAAGTGTACTTTCTGTTCTGTTTAGCTGGTTTTAAATACAAGAATGACAATATTCACAATACAGCACAGCTTCAACTGCCTTGTCGCTTTTGTAAAACAGTTACTTCATAGAAAGTATAAGGGCAGAAATTTTCATTAAAACTTTTACACTAAGCAAATTCATTTCATGCAATCCTTCTGCCAGACATATTAGCGAACGGGCATTTCGTGTCATAACGTTTACTGTTTTTATTGACCAATCTGCTTCCAGGACTGGAAATATCTGTTCATGATGTTCATTAGAGCACCACTATGATGCAACAGCAGGATGCAAAGCTACACTGACACCCTTAAATGAAGATAATGTGGTCTTCCCTCAGCAAGAGGGAAAACACTATTAAAGTACAGTACTGTTTGTACTATTTCTTTTTCAGTGTTTTACAGTTCAATGTGCCTTTGAAAAAGCCATGCGTAGTGCAGTGGCCCAGTTGCGTGACCTTCAATTGCTGCAGAGAATCTTTTAGTCCAAGTGCAAAAGAAGCACAGTTTGAGTAAGCACATACAGTTCTGTTTAACTCGGTTTCATTTTATTTTGATGGGAACATATTTGTGGATCTGTGAATGATACCTTGTCGCATTCTGTAGTGATATACTATTAATACTACCGTACTAATGTGAAAAGAGGGGCACTACCCGTACACATGCCACTGCAGGATATGAGTCACCCATACTAAATACAGATGAAGACCACTCACTCATTACTCTAAATTGGTTATTTTAAAATAACAGGATAAAATTCCCTTTATGAGCTGAGGAGATCATGCTTTTTGAAGCCAAGAGCTAAACTCAAAGGGATAATTCACCCAAAAATTAACATTCTGTCATCATTTACTCGCACTCATGCTGTTCCAAACCTGCATGACTTTCTTTCTTCTGAGGAATGCAAAAGGAGATGTTTAGAAGAATGTGCTGGGAATGTGAATGCAAATGTGTTTAATGGCTTCAATTTTAATCTGTTCCTTACACAAAGTGTCAATAATATGTCTTAAAATGTGGCATTTGGCACTTTTATGTGATTGTTATGTTGCTTTGTGTATTTGTTTTCCCAAGGGTTTGAAGCCACATTCATTGTAAGTGTGTGGAAAGGTGCGACTGGTACATTCTTCAAAATATCTCCTCTTGTGTTCCACAGAAGAAGAAGAAAAAGTCATAGGTTTGGAATGACTTGAGGGGGATATATATATTTTAATCAGCAAAAGGTATGAAGTATTCCTCAGTGAGGTTTGTCCCCAATCTGCATTTCTCATGAAATAGCAGAATATATCTGCTGACTTTCTGAAATGTATATATCATGATGTGTTCTACTCTTAGATGCTCTGAAAGAGCTGAATCTGTGCTTATTCTTAAAAATTTTTTTTTAATCAGGTGTTATTCTAAAGGTGCAAACATATTATGTTTTCATCATAACTCTTTCCAAGTTTGTGATCTGTAAGATTTTTTAAAATGTTTTTGAAAGAAGACTATTAAGCTCACCAAGGCTACGTTTATTTAATCAGAAATACAGTAATATTGTGAAATATCATTATAATTTAAAATCTAGTTTTCAGTTTTAATATATATTTAAATTAATAATTTATTGCTGTGATCAAAGCTGAATTTTCAGCATCATTACTCCAGTCTTGT